AAATTATCCTTAAACATTGCTAAAACCAAATACACATTATTCCATAGTGTTCGTAAATAAGAAAATATTCCATTGAAACTTCTAAATCTTTTTATTGATAAAAATTTAATAAAAAGGGAAATGTCTCTAAAATTTTTAGGCGTAATTCTCGATGAAAATATTACGTGGAGAGAACATATAAGTGTAATTGAGAATTATAATTTCTAAAAATATTGGAATATTGTATAAAGCTAAACATTTCTTAAACCAATCTTGTCTTAAATACATATACTATTCATTTATACACTGTTACCTAAACTATGCTAACATTGCTCGGTGCAGCACCAATGTTACAAAATTAACTTCTCTGCAAACAAAAACATGTCATTAGGATTATTACAAATGAAAATCGCTTCTCTCATACAAAAATAATTTTTAGCAAACTTAATATTCTAAATGTTTTTAAATTAAATTTCTATCATATTCTTATGCTTATGTTTAAACTGGATAAAAAAATGGCACCACTTTTATTCAACTCTTTATTTAAAAAAATAAATCATATATGCAGCACAAGATTTTAAAATAATAATTATACTCAATCCAAAACCTATTATTGTGCCACTAAATACTCAATCACAAACCGAGGTCCTAAATTATGGAATATATTTTTAAATAATGATCTTAAAACACTTTCTTCACTTAATCAATTAAAAACTAAACTTAAGCAAAATCTTTTACTAAACAACAATGAGCTTTTTTTATGGATTATTTTGCTGAGAGTTTTGCATGAAAATTTGGTTGATGTTGTCACATTGATTTGTAGTTGAAGAAATGTAGAGTCCGTTTTTTTCATTATTAAAATAGTTTGCTTTATGCATTTTCTTTTATTATGCAAAATTTTAACAAAAAATAATTATAAGCAGTTAGTCTAATTAGTGTTAGACTTTAGGTATCTAATTTCGGTTTTTCTGTTTGTTTTTTTTAGTAAGCGAAATCCGGATGGGGCCGAAATCCGGATAAAGGGGCGATGTTTAATTAAAGTTTTATTAAATATGGTTTTACAAATTAAATATATATATATATATATACATATATACTTTATATTTATAAAATGCATAAATGTTGTTCAAAGAAAATTTATTTATTTAGGTTAGTTATCTTGGTGTCATTAGTGGTACCATCATTAAAGATATGACGAGGAGAGTATTATCAGCTTTAATAACTAATGTTTTAGCTAGTGAATTATATTTCATGGAACATGAGGAAAAACATGCTTTTTCAGTCCTTATGATAAGAAAAATTGTCAATGGTAATTATGAAACTTACATTTTTTACATTTTTTATGCAATTTAAAGAAACGCCAAATGCATATTTTTTTATACCATTTTTTATAAATTTAAATATGCATGATGCCTTAATTTCTGTTTCAGGCTCCAAAACTATACAGATCTTATTACGCCAGTGTCTAGATATATTAAAAATTTAAATAAAAATTTTTAAAGATTATGCTCCAATGACTGTTGTATTGATTACTTGTTTAACCATTTTTCGATAGTTATGGCGAAAAACTATACTTGTTAAATTTAACAAGGCACTTTATTTATTTATTTATTCTTTTTAACACCCAAATTAAAACAAATTGTATAAAACTAATAGTTTATACTTTCAGTGTAAAAAATTTAAATTTTTCTTGGGATGTTTTCCTCCATCAACTTAGTAAATACCAGTCTTTGTTCTCTGATATTCCAGAATTCAAAAGAATGGTTCAAAATTGCCGCTATATTTTCTCCTACGTCATCGTAGCAACGTTTTACCGTTATTTTTTTCCCTTCTATCAAACACTGCACGAAGTTTAGCTCAAGTTGATTGCAAATTTTTATTACTTCGTTGGTAAATAGGTTATCTTTAGTAACATCAGATATTTGAGCCAAAATCAGTTAAAAACAAGTTGGATTGTTCAGTAGTCTGATAAACAGATTTAATTTGTTTCAAATAAGGATGGTAGATATGTCATCAATTTTAAAGAAGGGATGCAGGTAGTTTTTGGTGTACTTCGATATACTAAATATGAATTTTAATGCTGACCTTCCAACAGCGTCTAGTTTATTAAGAAGTGAATTATTATAACAACAAATTTCTAACCCGTATGATAAATTCGGTACAGCCAGTGATTTGAACAAGTGTACTATGGTTAATGGTTGACAAAAACGAATACCCGATTTTATAAGAGCTCTGGATATTGATTGAAAGTGAATAATACGTTCGTTTACATTTAATGATTGAAGTGTTGCTATATTTTTTGTATTATTTTGATTATCCTATAAGAATCCGAGGTGTTTCAGTTTATTCTTGAGGTTTATGGAAAAGCCCTTTATTTGAATTGAATTTTTTGTAATTGAGCTTTTACCGGATATAATAAACTCGGTTTTTACAGTGTTTAGTTTGATATATAGGTTTTGGCATTGTGACTGAACTTTATTAACCAATTCTTGTAAACCAAAAAGAGTAGGACTTAGTAGGATTATATCGTCTGCATAAGCTATAATACCGGTGTACACCCCACTTATCGTTGTTCCAACTTTGCAATCTGAAACAATTTGATTTAATATACTTTGAGTGTATAAGTTATATAAATGTGGTGATAAAATGGATCCTTGTCACACGCCTTGAGACAAATGGAAATGATTTGATTTATGCCCAAGGTATGATATACTAGCAGTACCCGATAGGTATAGTGATTGTAGTGCGTGAACTACTGATAGCGATAATTTTTTGTTGTAATAAAGTTTTTCAAACAACAGTTCCCAGTTACAGCTATCGAAAGCCTTATTTGCATCTAAACTACAAATATATATTGATGAATTATTGTTGTTGTAATACTTTATTGTTTCACTTAAAAGAAACTCTGCATGAAGAGTGGAGCTATTATGTTTGAAGCCAAAATGGTGAGAGTAGCTATCTGATATTTTCGGACATTTTTCCATAATAATATATTCAAAGAGTTTTGTCAGAATTGGCACGATACTAATTTCTCGATAGTTATCAGGATTATCAAGAGATTTTTTATAGGATTTCACTATTGGAACAATTATAGATGTTGATAGGTACTCCGGCACCGCTCCATTATTGAAGATATTGTTATAAAACTTTGAAAGCCATGTAAGTAGATTGTTGTTATAGGAGTATTTAAAATGTATTTATAAAATTTATAAATAAATTTAAATTTTCTTTTGTTTCATTAGATACAGTTTGATTTTTTATTAATTGACCATTAATAAAAAAGCTACAGCTGCTGAAGTAGAAGACGTAGTGAAGGAATGGCTTCAAAACGCAAAAGATATGAGCCAAGGTCGTGCAAAGCCGAGAAGATTAGAGTTGAACGACGAACTTGCAAATAATGTAGAAGACAAATAAAAATAATTTGCAACAATTGCAATATTGCAAAAAAATATTATCTTGGCTATATGAATATTTTTTTAATTCCATATATATATATATGGAATTAAAAAAAAAATATATATATATATATATGTATTTTTTTTTTTTTTTAAGTTGATTATGGTGCCCCAAGAAGTCCTTACGGTCTTATCACAGAGCACCACGGAAGAGCATTTTATAGGAAGTTTACGCCTCCTTCCCAACCAATGTTGCAAAACTTGCCCACAGGTATGGTTTGAACCACGGATCTTACGTTTCTGAGGCAAGCGCGCTATCACTGCGCCACGGCTGCTTAATATATATATATATATGCAATCTTTTTTATCTTTTTTTTCTGGAGTCACTACCAGAACAATTTAATAAGGTAATTTTTATTAGAATACTATTATATTAAATGTAAAAGTTTTGAATAGTAACAATTTTTTTTTTTTTTAAAGTTGATTTAGGTGCCCCAAGAAGTCCTTACGGTCTTATCACAGAGCACCGCGGAAGAGCATTTAATAGGAGGTTCACGCCTCCTTCCCAACCGGTGTCGCAAAACTAGCTCAAAGGTGGGGTTTGAACCACGGATCTTACGTTTCTGAGGCAAGTGCGCTACCACTGCGCCACGGCTGCACAAATTAATTTATATGTTGAATTAAAATAATATTGATTTATATGTTGATTTCGTAATAATTCATACTAAGTTTCACTTTAGATTAAATAAGTTAATATTTTGATTTAATAAATTTTAGTAAAGAGTAGTTGAAATCTTATATCTAACGTATTTCAAACTGTGATAATACTTCATGGGTATGATAGAAAATATGTTTTTGAAAGATTTTGCATTAAAGTTTTATTTCCAGACTAATATATTAATTCGCTTTTTAGAGTAAGTAAGATATATTCTGATTAAGAACAATGCTTCATTAAACAATGAAGATGCATAAAGATGACAAATTTCCTGCGATGCAGAAACATCCTAGTTATAACTGATAACATTAAATCTACAGTATAATTGGCGAACTGTATACCGACATGCTTCGAAAGTTGGTGAAATATTTGCTGCTAACTATTTTTTTTATTTTTATTATTTAATAATTATTTAAATTGTATAAAAAATAGTTAAAATAATAGAATAGAAAAACAAATAGTTATTTCGTCGTTTTATTATGTGTTTTTCGATAATTTCCCATTCTATTTTATAATCGCTGTGAATAATATTCGCTTTCGTAATCTCATTTATTGATCAAAATTAAAGCGGGCTAATGTCCATTTACTGATCTCGGCCTGACGTCATTTTACTGATCTCGGCCCAACGTTGTTTTACTGATATCGACATTTTATTGATCTCGCCCCGATGTCATTTTACTGATATCGGCCCAACGTCGTTTTACTGATATCGACCCGACGACATCGGGCCTACATCATTCTGATGAGCAAAAACTACATTGGCCCGACGTAGTTAAACTACCATCGGCCGCTGTAAATAAATAAAAAAAACAAAATATTAAAATAAAATAATATATCTTAAATACAAAAATTAAATAAAATAAATAGAATAAAAAATTAAATGAAGCAGTTAACAAAATAAATAAACACGATTACAGATAATTACAACTTTAATACTAATTTGTAGGTAATAAAAACTTAATAAATGTAATTGAGGCAGTAGCAAGTGAAACGAATATTCCAACTGTCAGTCTCATTGTAATTTTAACACCGAGGATTAAAAAACCCATGTCTTGTTCTATAAAAAATAAATGCCTGTAAAAAGAAAAACGCTCGTTGGGTATGTGAGATGTACAGTTTGACAGGCATTCAATTCCGACTGAAATAACTATTTCATGCACAGCTTTACAAACTAGTGCAGCAGGATAGAGTTTTATCGCAATACTAATAGTGTCAAAAAAAATGGTACCAACAAAATTATAAATAGGGTAATTTTTTCCAAATGAATCTGTCCAGTAAGCATAGCTAAAAACAAATATATCCATTATATGGTACGCCACGGCAAACGATATTATTTTAGAAAAATCTTTTTGTGTCAATTCAAGCCAATGATGAAGTTCATTAAACTCAAACAACAAATGTCCGATGCATTCATCATTCGTGTTGTTAGCTTTTGAAAATGTATCTTTCATATGCTTGTCATATAATTTTATTTGATGAACATGAATGTGACAAACATACCCATATAAACTGAGCCAGGAGGCCCACCAACCCATGGTAACTACAATAACTTGTATATAAATTACAGCAGTTAGTTCATAACTAAGGATTTGGTTTTTAAAAAAACGCTCCCAATGTTTAATAAAATACAACGACATTGTTGCCCACATAATAAATGATAAAAAAGTATAAATATATCTCATTTTGCGCAGCTTCTTTAGATCTTCTTCAGTGCTCTGTTCATATATGTGTTTGATTATTCGTTCAAAATTGCCATACCGAAAATAGTATTTAACAAACAAAAAGGGACAGCAAAAGTCTAATATCGAACCAATGCTATTAAAAACTTCAGCAAATTTAAAGCTGGATGAATGTAGATAGCTTAACATGAATATAAAAAACGCATTTATAAAAACTAATGTAAACATAATCCAATTGTATACTTTAAATATAATAAAAGCATTTTTTGGTTGCCACATTCCTAATAAGCGAAAGAAATAATAACAAGGTCTTGGTGCATCTCTCTGTGTGTAAATTTGTAGCTGAGTTGTAGAACTACCAATTGAAGGGATATACATGAAATCTGTACTTTCTCCATTTGGATCCATACTTGTATGCAAATGTTTTGAATTTATTTGCATATATCAACAAGTTAAGTTAACTAATTCTTGGAAACTTTTGCATCTAAACTAAACTAATAAGAAAAGAAAAAAGAAAAGTATATATTTATATATATATATATATATATATATATATATATATATATATATATATATATATATATATATATATATATATATATATATATATATATATATATATATATATATATATATATATATATATATATATATATATATATATATATATATATATATATATATATAACATATTTCATTTTTTCGGAAATGGCATAGCGGCAAAAGATGAACTTTTACTTGTATCAACTTAAAATAATAGTACTATTTTCCAAATTGAAAAAAAAAACCCACCACTGCAGATGAAAATTTGGTCCCAGCTGTCTAAAAATGCAAAAAATTTAAGTTTTTGCATTTATAGTAGGGGCAGTAACGAACAATTACTAAGTAAATTGCTTAACTTTACGTGAATAAAAATTTGAGCAAAACTGCTAAAGTTTTTATTCACGTAAAGCTGACCAATTACTGAGTAAAAGCAATTGCTTATTTTTATTCACCCGGCCTATGATCTAAAAATATTTAGATAAAGCTACGAAAATTATGTGTTTACAATTATGTGTTTCAGAGGTTGGGAAGGGGGGGGCTTTTTTTTATTTATTATTAAATACATTAAGTATAAAACATTTTTGTAATTGTACATTTTTTATTTAAAGACTATATTATAGTTTTTATCCAAGATTTTTTATCAGTTGTTTTAAATTTTAATGAAGCAAAGGAACCAGACATTTTACCTGGAGCAACTTAAAAAGCCGGAGCTAGACTAATCATAACCAGA